GGAGCTCACTGTCCCTGGCTGGGAGGCCGCCTGGAGGACCTGGTTTTCTGGAAGAGACCAGCTCTACCTGCATCGAACAGTCTGTCCAGACCCCATGCCGTCCCTCTCCCCACCTTGAACTCTGCTTGCCTTTGGCCGCCAGCCCTTGGCCGATGCCCTCTGTGGGTGGCTGACTTTAACYCAGCCTGTCGGAGAGTTCTGGAGGGAGGTGCTTCTGAGCCTAGACAGTTGGTCCCACAGCTCTGGGATTGCTTCCCCCGAGGCTTGAGGAAGTCCGGTTTGCCATTGTTTTGGGGTGATCTGATGTCATGTCACCACTGTCCCCTGGGAAAGTGGGTGAGAGCTGTTGAACACGTGAACCTTTCCAGTCAGAATTGCTCAGGGGTTTCTAAAACTTCCATTTTGGAAAGGAGGGGTAGTTATTTCGGTGAGATTGTGGTCTAGTGGTTAGACCTTGTGACTGGGAGTCTCGGCCAGAGGGCTTGGAATCTTCCAGGCTATTCCCCCAAACCTTTTTGCCAGGGGTGGTTGAGTCCAAAAAGTTGCTTTCAGGCCGTTGAACCCACTTTCCTACTCACTTGGGTTCGGCTGTCTGAACGGAAGGCCCAGTGAGGGCCGCYGCTTCTCTGGCAGGACTCTTTCTCTAAGCCAGGGATGGCCAGCTCACAGGCCACAGCTGGCTGGCCACCTGTTTTTGCATGGCCTGCGAGGGAAGAGCGATTTTTTATTACTTTAAAAATGGTTGAAGAAATCAAGTGAGGCATAGTAATTCAGATTTCAGTGTCCTTAAGTACGTAGATTGGAGCGTAGCCACCACACAKCGCACCCAGGCCTTGCCTGGGGGTGCATGTGAGTTACCAGTGGCAGAGCCTAGTGGTCATGGCAGAGGTGGCGTGGACCTCAAAACCCAAGATACGGACTATCGGCGCTTCACAGGAGAAGTGTGCCAGCCCTGCCCTGAGCAAACACAGGGCTGTCCCCACTGGCCTGTCCATCTGTGGAACGGAGTGACTGAAAGGGTAGTGCCGGGAAGCCTTGCTGATGTTCAATCAAGTTTCCCGGCAGCCTTGTCATTGTCATTGCCACTGCCATCCGTGTTCTTTGAGTTCTTCTGTTTGTTTAGAGAAGAAATTTGCACGAAAGCCTGAAACCCTCAGTAGCACCCGAAGGTGGCAGGTTCCAGGAATAGAGGATTCCAAAGGACACAGGTGCCGTGTGGGGACAGGCTGGGTCAGGCAGCCGGAGTAGGCGCTGACCGCTGCTAACCTGTCCCCCCCCCCCCCCAGCCTCCATTCTGAAGGCCAGCCTCCTTCGCCTTCACTTTCCCTTTTCGGGGCGGGGGGGTGGCGGGAGGTGGCAGGGAAGAAATCAGACGCTCACCTTTTTCTTTTGCTGACAATTTAACAGGCTTTCCCACCACTTTGACTCTTGTCAGGCCCTGGGTGTTGTATATATTTGGAGACTTTGCCCACAGGTCCAGAGCTTAACTTAAGCTCCCTGAGACATATCATAAAATATGATTTGGGGGAAAGCCCTAATGGGCTATGATCAGAACATGATTATTAAACAAAGGATGAAATGCTTAAGCCAGGATGGCCTTTAAAAAAAAAAAAAAAAGAAATGAAAGCCGAGCAGACTCCATTTCAACAGTTTTCAATGTCAGAATTCCCACAGCCCCGTTTGATTGCCGTTTGTTGAAAAGCTTAATGTTTTTGTAGGCAATTCATAATTTCCACGTTGAGCGGCCTAAGAGAAAGAGTGCTGGAGCCCGGTGTTGTTWTTATAGTGGGATGGTGGGAACTTTTTTTTTTCTTTTCTTTTTTTTAAAAAAACTTTCCCAAAAGGATGTAAAACTGAAGCCAAGCTGTGGGGRAAATGTAGCATAACGTTCCAGTCCTTTTGTAAATCTGAGATGCCTCCTCCTCCAGGTCTTCCTCTAGGACCCAACAGAATAGAATTTCCTGCTGTTTAATGTCTCCAGGAAGGAAGAGATTTTCCTCTAGGCTGTAATCGTACCTAATTTCCTTTTTCTTCCCTTTATTTATTTATTTTCCCCATTAATAAGGACCAATTGTAGAAGATGAAGGAAACTGGGGAACCCATTCCTTTTGGAGGAGGTTAATAACAACTTCCTTTAAAGACTCCTGTTGTACCCCTTACTTCCCCAAAAGGAGCATTGTCAGCCCGAATGCCAGTTAAGAGTCAAGGGAAGATCAGGGATTTGTGGGTGCCCAGCTGTTCTGTGGCATCAAATTGCACCGGGTAGGAGAGTTTGGGGCTGTCATTGTGGAGTCCCTGCAAGTCGGCGGGACCAGGGCTGTCTTCCTGCACCATCTGGATTCGGTTAGCTCTCTCTGGGCAGCAGGGCCGAGTCTCATTTCCTCCAACCAGTAATGTTATATAGGCAGTGATCCTGGGCTGCCCTAACATAATTGAAAATTATGTGTGTTGTAGGCTCAGAGCGCTGAAATGCAGGCTCATAAAAATATGTGGTGCAGGTAGCCTATGGAGATTGGATGTGGCACACAATGAAGCTTTTATGTAAAATAAGAATTGTAAGTCTCCGCGTTAATATTGCATTATGGGCATGACAGTTCCTGGGTGGGGTCTTTGGGGCAGGTCTGTCACCTAAACCAAGCCTGAATTTCCTGATTCTATGGAGCCCGTATTAGAATGCAATCTAATCAGTTTTGCAGATGGCAGACCCTGAAACTTGTCCACCCACTTCACCTTCTCTGTGGAGAGAACCAGGAGGTGGGTGCAGGTGGGTCCGCCCAGCTTTGCATTTGGGCTCACGGGCATTTGTGAGACGGAGAGGTGAGTGTTGGCGGGTGTCCATTTTGGTTGGCCTCAAGGAAATGACTCTATTGAGTGGTTTTGACCAGTGCAGCCTGTGTGTTTATGTGGCAAGTGAGAAKGGGAAGCAGTGGGGGTGAGACAGGGCACAGCAGATTCCCAGAGCCCTCTGGCTCGGGTTTAGGCTGAAGGACCTCGGGAACGTTTGCTTCAGTGGCTCTCTCCTCAGGCGATACTGGTCCCAAAGACGCTGGTATGTGGAAATGGTTGGACTGTAAGGACAAGTGGGAGGGTCCTGCTGGGATTCACTGTCTGGGGGACTGGAATCCGACAGTCAGTGTTCAGGGCAGACGCCCACCCGCTCTGCCATCACAGACCAACATTAGAGACCTGTACCAGGGATTCAGTGCAAGGTCCGGGGTCATGTTACACACAGAGCCAGGTTCCTCCACAGCCGAGCCTTCTCAGTAGAAGTTGTAGAAGATGCAGTTATCCTGTGTAGGTGTCAGCAGGATAAATCAACTGCATTTATGCAGGTGGCTCAAGTCTAGGATCTTCAGCACCAAGGATTACTGGGTTCGGTTTTCCTTTGCCCCACAGTTGTATCTCTGAGGAGTCTTGGATTGGCTTGTGGATCATTTTTACCCTTCTCTCTCTCATGAGGTTTGTGCAGTCCCTTCTTGCTGGACTGTTCTCTGCTGTTCCTTTTCTTATCAAGGTTCGTTCTGGGCAGCCYTCCTATGTCTCTTCTCAGAAATTCTGCCATCCCTCTGGGTGATAATGGAGCAGCTTCCCAGTGATCTGCCTTGACTTACCCATGAGCTGTGGCTCCCTCAGGCAGGGTAAGCTCCCTGGGGCAGGTGTCTTTGTTGCCCCATAATGCCTAGATAAAGGCTGGATTGAACACCAGTCACCAGTGTCATGGAATAAAAGTTGCTGGGTTGGGCTGGGGATGTGGCTCAAGCGGTAGCGCGTTCGCCTGGCATGCGCGGGGCGTTGGGTTCCATCCTCAGCACCACATACAAACAAAGATGTTGTGTCTGCCGAAAACTGAAAAATAAGTATTAAAAAATTCTCATTCTCTCTCCCTCTCTCTCCTCTTTAAAAAAAAAAAAAAAAGTTGCCTGGCAGTGAATATTTTAAAAAGCTCCTTATTTTGCTTTGGGTCTGTGAAGAGTTAAAGGTGGCTCATTATATGCTCTCCTAAGTATTATCTGACACATTGGCCAGTTGGCCTTTGAACCCTTAGAGGCTGATGCCAATGTCCTTATAAGCATCATGTCTAGGTTTCCTTGGGTTGCCTGACGTTCTCCTGAGTGAAACTCTTGAGATCGACAAGTCAAGTGCCTGGGAGTTACTTAAACACGTGCTAAGTATCTCTGGGACTGGGCAGGCACCTCCCTTCTGTTTCCCTTACTGTAAAACAAGTCCAGAATGGAGTCAGTTGATCACTCAGGTCATCCTGACAGCTGATGTGTGACTTTGGACAGAAATGGTTTGCTTGTGCAGTATATTTATCCATTTCATAGTTCAGAAAAAGGCAGGGAGGGCCATAATGGGCTCATCCCTTTCTTTTTCTCTCTGGTGAACCTGTGCCTGTTTAAGCAGTCAGTTGAAATGGGCATGTAAATTACATTGTTCTCTGGGTGTGAATCTGTTGCCGGGAAATATTGTTTGTCTTACAAGCTTTTGGATTGGTTGAGGAACTCTGTGTCACTCTTGGGTAAGCAGCTTCTAGGACAGGAAGGACGGTTGTACCTATGTGCTCAGCTTTTCTTTAAATTGAAGGATGGGGGCCTTTGAATGATGAAGGTCACTGAAAGAATGGATTTGGAATTGAAATGTCCTAGGACATTTCTGGCTTGAGATTTGCTTTTTTCTTCTGGGATAACTCTGGGTTCCTTCCTTTCTTTCCTCTTCCCCTCACCAGCCCCCCAATTAAGGTGGTATCAGTGGACCCATTTTATCCAAAGCCACCGGGTAGTTTGACTGCAAAGATAAACTCCAGTTGCTTATAGCGTTCGTGATCAGTATTTGAGCGTTGAGCTCCAGGGAAGACCTTTCTGATACTGCATGCTTTTTCTTTTGTTGTAATTTGCATGTGTTTAAAAGTTTCTCAGTTTCTGTCCTATGGAAGAACAGCCATTGCTCGCCTGAGCTGTTTTGCATTTCTTTGTTTTAATTCATGGTTTCTGGTTTTCCAGTATCTCCAGATGAAATGGCCACTGCTTGATGTCCAGGCAGGGAGCCTTCAGAGCAGACAGGCCCTCAAGGACGCCCGCTCACCGTCACCAGCACACATCGTTGTAAGTAATCCCCCAAAGACAGTTGCCTCCGTTGGGGGACAAAGACGAAAAGTCTCTTTTGGTGGTAACAGGCCTTGTTTGTCAGTTCTTTCTTTAATATATWTTTTTTTAATGGCTATGGTTTAAATTTATGAAGTACTTAGTTTTGCTGATGGCTCTTATTGATCGTATCCTACCTGAAAATTTCCCAAGTCCTTTTCATGCCCTTTTCTCCACGTATTGAGTTAGGATAGTCTCGTGGGCTCCAGTTAGTAGGACACAGTCACCACGGTTGGGGAAACTGGAAATGGCATCAGCAGTCTAAAGGCAGGCCAGTGCGGGAGGCAAGGTAGGTACGAGGGCATCAGGATAGGTACCGTGGGCCTGAGGCTCTCCAATCGCAGTGCCCCACGATTTATCTTAACATTTGTTGAAAAGTAACATTCTGTACTAGCATTAGGAAATTTCAGCTGTCTGGCTGATGGTGACCCCAGAGCAAGAATGAACTTAGGCTAAAATTAAATTTAATTCATGGCTTGGAAAGCGTGTGGGTTTGACATGGAGAACATTTGTTTTTAGTACTAAGAGACTACAACATACAGTGTGTGTCTACATGTATTTTTAATGCACTTTCTTAGAATTTTGTAGGCTCTGAAAGTTTGTAAATTAACCTCTTGAGAAGATAGTGCAGCCTTATTAGAATATTTATTCCCTTCTATGTATTTATATCATGAGCTGGACTTCAGACTTTTGAAATGATTAATGAAAGACATATTTTCGTAATGAATCCACGACAGGTAGAGTTAGGCAAATCGTGAAACAATTCATGTATTTTTTATTAAAGCATTGCAAAATGTTACTATATTCTGCCTCTCTATTTCTTGTAATTTCTAAAAATTGCAAAATAATTTTCTTGAGTCGTAGAATCTTGCCATGCATTGTGTCAAATTGCAGGCCAGCTGCCTCCTTATTTTGTGGCTTGCTGTGCTGGAGTATATCTTATTTAATTAGTTATACCTCTGTGGTGTGGGTGTCCATCACAACCATTTTTTTTAAACTGCATGTTGAGTCATGATTAGTGAGAACGTCAGCTCCTCATGCAGGAAGAAGGATGACGTTTGCCAGATTCTTCCTTCTCCCTCCAACAGTGATGGATGCTCCTAGAATGTCCAGATTTCAGGGCTAGAGGAGACTTCGGATCCTTCTAGGCACTGCCTGACCTTAGAAGAGGAAACTGAGGCCAGAGATGCCTTAAGTGAACTGCCCAACGTCACACACGGAGTTAGGAGCAGAGCGAGAACCAGATCCAGTTCTCTGCTCCCTTGGCTGGGCTTTGTGGCATATTCCCTTCAGGGAGGGGGAAAAGTCAGTCTCCGTGGCTGGCCCTGTTGCACTTACTCTAAGTTGGATCATCAGCAGGGACAGTGACAGAGGGGTAAAGAAGTCAATGGCTTGGGGTACTGGTGCAGGTTTCTCCTGGAAAATGGAATACCATGTCTTAAGGGAAAAAAAAAAAAAAGAATTAAGGTACAGAGATTTCAAAGTGTGACCGTCCTAGAGTCTTCGAGGCGGGGCGAGGAAGCCTGCCCATTCCCCTTCTCCTGCCTCCCTGGGCTTCCGGGTGTGGTACCAGGCTGTGGAATTTATTTCTCTGAAATGCTCACTGGAACTTTCCCACCTATTTCAACTTTAGAGAAATGATTTTATCTCTATAATCTCTCTGGGGCCTTTGTGTCTTTGAGTGTGCAAAGGAGATTCAGGTCTTCGGAGTGGTTTCAGAGTGGACGCAGCCCCTTGTGTTTGTGTCGCAGGTCTATGGGAAGCTCCTGTGGTGGGCAGCCCACTGTGCGAGAGTGGGGGTGGTCTGCTTGGAGAGGGCTGGTGGCCCCCGGTCTCCCCCAGTCCCACCACAGTGGTTGCAGCCTAGGTCCTCAGAGCCTTGTTTTCTCACGTGGAAATTAACGATCTGGACAAGATGGTAGGACATTTTTTCCAGAGCTAATGTAGATTTTGGCAAGGGGAGCAGAGTGGGGACTCAGGTGCCCTTTTCCTCTGCTGTTTAACGCAGGGCACATTTACCATAGCCACCACTTTGGAGCGCACATCACCTTTGAGATGGGGGCCTTTGTCCAAAGGAGCCACAGCTGGCAGCAGGTACAGGATCTTGCATGATTCCTGCTGTGCCCTTGGGGACTTGAGGACCAGCCATTGTGTAGGGGAATGCATTGATGTAGGATGGTCTACTCTGGGACCTGGGGAGAGGAGAAAAGCCATAAGTTTGGACAAAAGAAGACGATTTGTGAGATTGTAATGCTTGTTATGACAGTGGAAGGTGACTGTGGCCCCAAGAGTGACCCCTGTTCTCTGTTTGTGCAATCTTCACCCGACAACGGAGGACTAGAAGAGGGAGTTTTAGGCAAGGAGAGTTAGAGGGAGATGGGAAAGCAGGGTGCACAAGAGACTGGGGGTGTTGACCTCCTCATCTCTCTGCTTACCTGTAATTTTTGGGATTGGGGAATCCATTTTCCTGGGGACCACATGATTATGTAATTACTTTTTCTCTGGACATAGGGGAGGGGGTCATTAGAGTACCTGGGCAGGTACAGAATGTCTGTCTGTGAAGGGATCTCTCTGAAGCACGGCTTCTGCCGCAGTGGAGTCTTGGTGGAGTTTCAGGTGTGGTTCAGGTTGAGGTTCAGCCATGATTGGCTAAGTTTTCTCCAGACACACAGGGCTCTTCCTCACTTGTTGGGTTCTATTCTGTTAAGCAGAATGTTGTCACATCACAGTGTTTTGCCAGAGTTGTTTCAAAATAATCATCTAAGGGTTGCTTCCTAATTTCTATGAAATTTGGATTTATTGTAACTTTTGAGCCAAGTTGTTTCATAATTATTTCCAATGTTTCTTTTTGAAAATAAGGAAGTGTTCAGGGTTTGTTAGTAATCATTACAGGCTAACAGCTCTCACAGATTGCTAACAAAATGACTCTCTCCAGCACCTGGTATAGGGCAGAATCCTCATGGGAATTCAGAACATTTTGTTGGAATATTTTAATCTGATTGGATTTTTTTCCATGTGATACGTGGGCCACCACATTGTAAAAAAATGATATGTTCAATAAATGTTTTCAACAAGTGCAGTTTGCTTGTTTAGCCGACATGGGGATGTGCCCCAGGACCTTGCATGTGCTAGGCAAGTACCTTACCACTTGAGCTGCATCCCCAGCCCCATCAACAGTGTTTAAGAAACAAACTCCACGGATTTTAGTTCCTGCAGCTGAAGTGGCATCCTGGTTGTCCATAATCTGGCGATTGCTGATCTGTGTTCAGGGGAGAGAGGAAATCATTCCCTGGGGATGGATGATGTCTTGATTGGCTGGCTAAGAAAAGAGCATTTACATCACTTTCCAGATCCCTCTTCTCAAGGGGCTGGGGTTGTGGCTCAGAGGTAGAGCACTTTCCTACCATGCGTGAGGCACTGGGTTCCATCCTCAGCACCATTTAAAAAAAAAAAATAAAGATATTGTGTCCACCAAATCCCTCTTCTTGCCCTATCCCATTTTCTACTTCATATAACTAGCCCATTTCTTTGTGGTATTTCAAAACTTGTGTTTTCAATTCTTGACCCATTTGCTTCTCACTCACTGAGGGCCAGGCCTGGCTTGTGCTGAGTGGTGGTGGGAACCTGGGCTGACCCACCTCCAGCGGCTGGGAAGCTGCGGGCTAGGAGCTGCTCCCTGGGTACCACCTCTGGTGTCTTTGCTGTACAAAGACTTTTCATTTAACTTCCTTTGTACTTGGCAAAAAAAAGATTCTGGACCAAAAATGGTGGTATTTTGGAATAGTATATATCTTACAAACCAGCAAAAGGCTTCAAAAGTTTTTACAATTTATCTTGGGGGTTTCCTTTTGAAGTCGATGTGAAATTTCACCTTGGGGTGGATTTCTAGAATTTCTGTCTCGGGCGTTTTGTTGTGTAATGAGCATCGAAGTGTGGGATAGGAGAGCAGACCGAATCCTGAGGAAGATAGCCGCAGACAGCGATGGTGCAAGTTTTTTGTTGTTATTGCTTAAATGCTGAACGCCAGGGGAAGGCTCTTAGGAAACGCAGCTTGCTGAATAGGACCCGGGATGGGGCTCCACCGCCTGCTGAGCGTTTTCAAGTAAGCTCAGGGCAGGAGGAACCTCTCATTTTTGTTTCTGAAGAGTTAGATGCATGCAGTGCTGCCCCACTGGATGCTTGTGTGGACCTGGTATGTGCCGGTGGCTCTGCTTTAGGGCTGGCGAAGCCAGGGCAGCCCCTCCTGGAGTGGGAGGTGCTGTGCCAGGTGCCATGAAGGAGTAGAGAGGGCTGTCCAGGGTGACCAGGGAGACTTGATTGTGACCGGGATGTTCGTGGGGATTTTGTGCCTTGGTGGCCACATGAGAAAGGGATGTTTCAGAGAGGGTGGTTGGTGGGTCTTCTGGTGTTCTACGGCGGAGTGGGCTAATGAGGATTGACAAGAACTAATTGTATATTTCAAAACAGTTTTCAAAAACAGGGTTGTGAATGTTCCCCACACAAATAGAGGATGAACATTTGAGATGATGGATATGCTGTTCCCCTTATCTCATCACCGCACATTGTATACTTGTGTTGAAATGTCACGCTGTACAACTCACATATAGATAATTATTATGTGTCAACTAAAAGTTAAAAACAGAAGTCAGAAATGGTTGAAGTTGTTGAAGTTGGCCAGAGATGGGGTAAGAGCTGAAGACTGTTCCAGGCCAAATGAAAAATGCACGTGAAGGTCCTAAAGGAAAGAGTTGGCTTAGTGACGAGCAGTGTCAGGTGGGATGGCCAGGGTGGGTGGAGTGGGAGAGTGGGTGGAGGTGCGATATGGCAAGGACCTGGCACCTGATCCTAACCACTGGGGAGTCATGGCGGGGTTTGGCTGTCAAATCTGCCTTAGTGGCTGTGTTGAGCTCCTGGCGGGGTGAGGGGGAGGCGAAGGTGAGCACATTGGGGACCATCAGCAG